AGTTCCTAGAGTTTCTTAATTGTTATTAGAAAATATTTTTATTTCATATCATAATCCAGTGATGTTGTATGCACATTGTAAAGAGCAAATTTGTATAAATTTTGTACAAAACCAGCGTAAATCCTCTCCCGGTAAGTATTAGTTCTCACAGACAGATTTCATTGCAATTTGGAAAACAATTTTTCGGAATTTGGAATATTTAAAAATATGCATCATATTCAGATAAAAATATATAAGTATTATGGATGTGGATATGTATGTATATTTATGTATATGAATTAAAGCACAATACAAAATCAGTTTTAGTTTTGAAAACAACTTCTATCTTGTCTGCTAAGCGATTTGAATTGCGACTGCGCCTGATTTATTGAGTAGTATTCGCATACAACCAGGGATGCCTTACTTTTCAAAATTCTTTTTTTGTGTAATCCACAAGAGCAGTCATAAGTGGGAAAAGTGCGCAAGTACATACATTTTTACATACAGATTGGCTGTCTATTGCTTAGAGAATTATTTAGTTTAGCAGACTTTTTATGCCGCCACAAATAACTCTCATCTTAGTTTAAGTACACTTATTTTTATTTTGATAAACCGGTTATTGCAAGGGCTGGAAAGTGGTCGCACGAGACATTTATTACACCGGTATACAAAAAAAGTGGTGTATGCTTTTAAACAGAAACAACCATCGACATATATTTCGAGTAAATTACGAAAACCGAAAAAAAATCGCAATTTTCGCAATTTACCCGAAATTTTGGAGGTGTACGAGTCAAACGGACCTCAGATACAGATTCAGCGGGCCGAAATACATGTCGATAGGTGGTTCTGGTTAAATACACAGACCAGTTTTTTGATGTGTATACATCTTAGGTTTCGGTAGGGGTCAAATTAGCGAAGCTGTAACGCATAGTCCAGCATAAAATTTCGAAGGGATTGCATGTGTATTGCAGCAGAAAATTTTTAATTTCATTAGAAGCACCCTGTGTTCACTTGCTATTGCATATGGTTGCATAGATTTAGGCATATGCAGAGTAAGCGGAAATTCGGTACAAATGATTTTTACTTCCTATTATGCAAACTGCGCGCATGTATACGTCTATGTACCTATATACATATGTATTAACTAATTTCCCTGCAAAAAATTGTGCGACTTAACTCTAAAGATAGGATTCCGAGAGTACTCTCAATCGGGTACAATTGGGCATTAATTAGTCACAACTACTCTCATATCTTACTATATTAAACGAGCAATTCTTATATATATATATATCCATAAGCTTCTCGGAAACGGCTCTAACGATCGTACAAGCTTGCCACCTATTCGAAATTAGTTAAAATTGAATTAAAACATCATAATATGGGTATTAAATGGAAGGTATTTTAAAGATTCCTAATTCAAAACGATTTTTTAAGGTTGCCACCTGTTTTGAATCGCATAGTTATTTAATTTTTTGTTTACAAAAAAAAGGTAAAATATTACTATTCATGGGTACCAAAAGAAGGTTCTTAAACAATGCTTTCTCTATATATAAAATGTTATCTCTTAGGATAATAGTGAAAGGTTGCCACTTATTTACGATTATACACAATTTATCTAAAACATCGCAATATGGGTATCAAATGAAAGGTATTGTTGAGAACTTTGGTCAGAAAATATTTTCCATCAGGATTGCCAGGGTTCTATGTAATACAAATTTTTATTTTGTTAATTTCAATCGACATTTTTGTATGTATACACAGTACACATATGCTCAAGATATGTACCATTCATTCCAGCGTATTTCGGAATAGGGTTTCCACCTAAATTTTAGAGTAGAGAGGAATTTACTTAATAGATATCGAAAACCTATTTTTTGTTTATTTCCAAAATATTTTTTTAAAGCTATCCAAATCTTGAAAACTTTAAAAAGTACATATATGCACTCCGGGAAAAGCTCGGTCGACCTGGTACTGAGTATTATTGGAGATCAATTAGTATCGACTCATCCCTTACGGGTATAATTGGAGATCAATTAGTCCCCAACTCATCTCCAAGGGGGTTCTATTAATAATTTAATGATATGTCTGCACTTTGTCAACAAAATTTCATGTGCGGCGTTGGTACAGAGAGAGAGAGAGTATTCGCTTAACGAAACTGAGAACCCCGGTTCGAATCACAGCTGACGCAAATTTTTATTTTTATTTTTTAAAAGTAACTAGTTTAAAAATACTGAGATCATTTTAACTTGGGTCCGTTCATAACTGATGAACATACATGTATACATGTATATATACAGTGACGGTCAAAAATGGATGAATGGTGTTTCGTTTTTAATATGTATGTATTTAAAATGTTTTTCCAGCTAAAATTTTTTTGATATTTGTTTATAAAAATATGGATCATGCTTTAACAAAAACCATAAAAATAACACTTTAAAATTTTATACCGAATTTAGAAAAATTCCATAAACTTTTATCTAAGAGGAAATGCCGAACAAATGAGTTTAGCCTCCTATTTTGCAAACAAAAGATGGTATATTATATGTGACTTTAGCGTTAACTTAGCGACAGATGAATCAGAACCAGTTGTGAATCCACAAACTGCTTCCTCCGGGCCATGAAATCATGCCACAAATACCATTTCAGTCACAGTGAGTTAGACAAAAGGTGCCTTAAATATCGCAAAAGTTTTCTTAAATATTCTTAGGAAAATTTAAACGATATCTCGCCTATCACCAGCTACTTTATCAATGACCTATTCTCGAGTATTTACCCAACAAATTTCAAGCATTAAAACAACAATACAAAATACGCCTGTTTTCAATGGCAATTCTGTATTAATTCACATACTCATACGCGCACACAAAAATATATTTAAATGCTAGTAAGTAATTATGTGTATCCGAAACATGCATACCGCAAAGAAAATTAGGGTAGGACCATATTCGATTTGACACACACACCGAAGCACAATTACACTAGTAGTTACTAAGAAAACTACAGTATACTAGAAAGTAGATAGAGAACCGACCGGGCAAGTAATTGGGAGAGTTATTTTTATAGGTCAAAAGCATGAAAAAAGAGAGAGATTGCCGACACCAGGAGGATGCTGAATTGATTAAGAGCGCGAATATTTAAAGAGAATATTAACGAAAGCGCAAAAGCAAGATGAAAGGACATATGCAAAGTTCATACTCGTTGATGGTTTTGAGAAATTGTGTAAAATTGTTTTCCACTAAAAACATAAGTTTTGTATTAGCGAAAATTTGAAATGTCAATGAAATGAAAGTAAATGATATAAATATTTGTGCAAGTAGTGTTCGTTTAAATTATTTCAAGGAACATGCGGTGCTGTGAAGGTAGTTAAAGCAGTTATGGTTTTGCAAATCTTAATGAAGCATGCGTAGCTCTCGCATTCTATTGGTTAAGGTATGTTCGTTCATAAAAAAGTACTTGCTGATGAAGAAATATCTTAGATAAACGATAACCTAACTAAAGTGGCTTCTTGGAATAAATGAATACAGTGAGCACAAACTAGTAAGAAATTGACAGCTTTTTTGCGTAATTTTGTACGAAAACAATTCAGTGTCGGAAGCGAGATAAAAGACGTGAATTGATGTGTGTTTGCATGAAATATTAGTGGTGACAATAAATTCGTTACAGAAAATAAATAATATTTTTTATAGGATATTATCCACTTACTGAAGCGACATATATTCTTGAAGAAAATTGAAGGCTTTAAAAATTTCTTAATGGATTTTCGTCAAATTCACTCCTCCATATGTTATTTAGTGTTAAAGTCGAGCATATAATAAAGTGAACTTTTTTTTAATTTTATGCAAATTTTAGACTAAATTAAAAATTTTAAATTATAAAATTGCGATAAAAAATTATGATAGATAATTAGTGATAAATTTTAACATTTTTTCGAAAATTAAAAAAAACGTTAAGTTTTTCATAAGTTCCACTTTAACTTTGAATAACTTTTGTAGCAGAAAATTTATGGCAAAAATCTTAAGAGACTTAAAAAAAATATATCGTTCAATCCGATACGTTAAATTAAAAACAAGTTGCGTATAAAACTTCAAAATTGAAAAAAAAAATTAATTCTCTTGGAAAGTAGAAATTTGCTATGAGCGATATCTAAATCTCAATATTAGGAACTGCGCTTTTGACTGTCTTTTTCGCAGTCCCGAAAAAATTTTACAAGCGATTTTGAAAAAAAAAAAAATTACAAGTTTTAAAGGCCGCAGGAATAGACTTAAGAATAAATCGGGTCCCTCTTAGACTGAGAAAATTCCCTTGAGTCTCGACACTTTTGTTTAACTATAAAAATTTGTACTAAAATACTTTTGAGTTTAGAGTTTTCTTGCTTTAAGCGTTTTCAACATATAACAGTGTGCAACAGTCAATTTTACATACAAAATATTTATCCAAAATTTTTTAAAGGACCTGGGACAAGGACGAATAGGTATTGACAATATTATTTTAAAATTAATCCTATGAAAACTTTCACTCCATATTTTTGAAAATATTATATGTTTATGACTAATATACCAACGATCATATCCTTGAAATTCGTTGTTCTAACTTTATTAGCTTACAAAAATGTAAACAATTAAAGAGGCATTTTTATTGATTCGTGAGGTTTGAAATATTTGTGTTTTCGTTGTTTTTTTTTTCAAAATTAAATAATTCGCAAATTAACTTAAAATTTACCCTACGATTCAAAAGAAAAAAGCAACTTTGGCAACCCTATCAAATATCTTCGGCATCATAGCCACTAATGGTATCCTGAAAGAAAATCACTTGTCGGAGATGCTGTAGACTGACTGGCGACCAACGAGCGACGACAGAGCAACGACAGAGAAACTCTATTTCAGCCATTTATGTATGAAACCACCCCCTGCACACCACCCACAGGTAGGTAATGCCGGAGAGCCTTGCAGACAGACAGTAAAACTCATTCGTTCCTCGCAATGTGACGCGAACGCACTGTGCTAGCGCTGCGCTGAAAGTGAAATTATATGTGAACGTGTTTTATAGATATGCCCAAAAAAAAAAGTGAAAAGGTGTATAAGATTGCAAAAACGTAGTAGAAGTATTGAAATTGTTGGATGTTTTGAAGTAAAAATCGTGGAAAAACTAAAGCAAGTGTGAGTATTAATATGCTGCTTTATAGAACATTTTAGCGCTATGTCTGCTCTACAACAATATAATTAAAATTAAAGCAGCTAAACCAGAAAAAAACCGAAAACAGAAAAACCAACAAAGTGTTCAACAATGGTAAAGCCGAGTGAAAAATTAAAAAAGTGATAATATTATAATAAGCATTGCATAAAAGCAAAAAAACAATAAAAATTATTATTTGTATACATACATATACTAATGTGGTTTAATGCGATTAGATGCCAAAGAGTGACTAGCTCTGTAAGTGCATTTGTTTGTCTGTGTTGCCTTTGCGCCGCAGCGTGCTGCTTGAGTAACCAACCAACAACGCACACTGGGGTATTTTATATCATTTTTGGCGATTAATTCACAAATTAAATTTCAAGCTACAGTGACGATTTTGGCACTTTATGAAAGTAAATAAAAATTCTGCAGCATCTTTTACACATCTTTTTGCCCATAAGCCTTAAAAATAGCTGAATAGCGGAACCGACGAACTTCTTCCCGCACAAAATATTTACTTTATTGAATATTTTGGTCCAACATTTTTTTTCATCAACAATTCACGTTAACAACTTTCAGTAGCAAATCTGAGGCCGTGAGAGCAGAAGTAGCCTTACCCAAAGTTTGTATTTTTTGTACTTACGTACTTAAAATAGTCTCAAATGTGATAAATTTTAAAATAAAATTCGCTTACTACAAACAAATTAAGGAATAAACGACCTTTATTTCAACATTTATTTACATTTGAAACTATTCTAAGAATTAATTATAACAATAATTAATTATAAACAAATATGTAGGTTAGGCCACTTCTGCCAACGTGGCCTCATTTATCTGCTCCGATTATGGTTTTTTAGCCGTAAGAAGGAATATCTTCCATTGTCGTCTCAAGTAACCTAAGGAAAGCGTCATGTCCTTCAAAAAGTTTTTGCAATTCCCCAATTATCTGGCGTTTCACACCTCGGTAAATCGCACAACGCTACTCTATTTCGATTTCAGAGTTGACAACGAAATAAATTTGACGAACTTTTACCTCTTTAGCCCCCGGCGGCATCAATGATCCGATTCAAAAAGTGAGCTTAAGCTCTGACACGATTTTCAATACAAATTATTGAAATAAAGCTCACTTAATCAGTGTAAAAATTCTGAGTCTTAGGTTAAGCTCACTTTTTATGCATGAGACCCAATGAATTACGTTATTTATTTCCTTTTTATGAGTAATCAACTAAAAAACTATTTTCGCGTAACTTGACAGCCTAGAAACCATTTACTCCACTGTGCAACGTCTTGGCAGACCATAAGCAAACACGGCAAGTACTAGCTGGTATTCATGCGCTGTTGCTGCGTTCGCATGTACTTGAGGCGCGTGCAAATTTTGTGGCAAAAAGCACGTGGTAAGCGCACAAAGAGGGAACTGCATAGAAATTGAATACTGCTTGCACTATTGAAGTGAATAAAAAAACTGTAAGCAGCTGCAAGCGAGTGTCTTACAATCGTATCTACTTGCAAGGGGGTAAAATTATGGATTTTATTTTTACAAAAACTTCTTGAGATCTTCACTTCTAAGCAAAACAGACTTTATTTTAGTAGATGTCTTCATATGTATGTATTCATACGAAATGTATGAATGCTTGTGTGATTACATGCGTGATTGTATGAAAGTAAATACTTAATTTTTACATTCGTGAGGTTTGCAACACCTATTCATCATTTTCAATGCAACCACTCATAGTTGCTACTACTTGACCCAGAGTCACAAAATAAGTGTCGTCGAAGATGCGAGAGTGCATGATTACGTGCTTTCTTTTCAATTTTCATTTGAAAATTAAGAAAATTTGTCAAAAGGTAATTAAAAGTATGCGTTCAAAATAGTTTGTATTGCAGGGCTACTAAAGAAACTGAAGTGACTTCAAGGGCTTTTATTATAACTGACATTATTTCGGGGCTCTACACTAACCGTACTTTGAAAGAAGTGTAAAAAAAAAACTATTTGTGAATAGCTGCTTCCGCAGCTGAGTGGTTGGAAGTGTTACAGCACAGTTGCCTTCAACCACGAATAGGTTTTTCAAAAGTTTACCCACACCTCTAAATATTTTTTGATTTCGAAACAAAATACCGGTGTATATTTTTTCGATTTGGAACAACCCTATGCTTTGCCCACATGCATTTTTTTTTAGACCACCCTAATGTACATACGTACTTTATACCTACAAAAGTTCGAATATGTATGTTTGTATCTATGTAGCTTCATAACTAATCGACTACGCCAATATAAAATAATTTCTTGGTGTGAAAATCTTCTCTAATACATCGTTATATGAGTAGATGTACTTATGTGCATAACATCATCGGGTCAGGGACATTCATTCACATTGTTGGCTATCAATATACCTCCGGTAAAGTAACACCTTTGTTAGGCCAATATTGACTATTTGCAGCATTGTTTCCTCGTTTCCAGCCAAAAAGGAAGCTAAAGCTATTTCCGTTGCCTATGCTCGTATATAACTGAGTAACGGAAGTGTAACTTCCTGAATTATAGTTGGCCATAAGTAGACAGTGGCACGGATATGAAATAGAAAATTGGCATAAGGAATGTTAATGACAAAACAATTGTACATATAATAAGTATAGTATTGTTAAGGGTTTTATGATTTTAAAATACTTAAATTAGTGAAATTTGTGGAACATTTATATACCTTAAAGTACTAAATAGAAGGCGTAAGCAAAGTCTTACTAATACTGGGAAACTTGCGGTAGACAAATCGTCATAATCATTTCAAACAAACCATGTTTCCCTAAAATTTTGTCAGCTCACCCGCTTACACTATAATTTTTTAACCACCAGGTCGATCTTTGTTCGTCAAGGGCGGGTCTCTTCAAGGTACCTCACATTGCACCTCACACTGTGTATCGCTGAACTATGAAATTCCAAGGTAAATCATATTTTTTTCACGTGAAAATCCGGCAACTTCTTGAGTTTAGTGTTGATATAGTGTTTTCTGAATTATTTATACTTAAAAGTGGTCGTCCACACTCTCAAAGATAAAGGATAGCAGCTTTAAGGTTATCCCTGGCCACATTGTCGATGCCCCGCTCCATTGCTAAATCGAATGAAAAGAATCACCTGGGAGTTAAGCAGCAAATTTAATAACTTTGTTACTATTATCGTGGCGAGTTTTTTTATTAATCAGCAATCTTTTTTGACAAACTATAAATCACAGATGATCGCCTGTATTGTTAAAGGTACTAGTGTTCGCCCAGCGCAGATAGGGGTATTTGACCGTTTTAGGCGGCCAACATTTTTTTGAAAATTTTAACTCAAAATGTTGAGAAACGACGTGTTACGATATTTAATATTGTAAATGAAAATGAAAATAAAGTTGGTTAAAGTTTGGCATCGACAGAGTCCATGTTATCGAGGTCCGATTGTAAAAAGATTGATACCTACGTGTTCGTATCGGCGAGAAGAAGGTTTATATCTTGGTTAGAACATAAAAAAGGGTTGCCAACTGCTAAAAAATTAAATGCACTTAAGTTAAATAAATTACTACAATATGGGTATCAATCGAGATGGGTTTGAAAAGGCTTTATTTTTAAACAACATGTGGGAGGATTACCATCTGTTTAAAATTTAAATTTAAATTTAGATTCAACTTTAATTCAGGAGAATTAGGTAACTGAAATATGTATAACAATATGGATGTCAGACTAAAAAGTTTAATAAGTTTATAGTTTGCAACTTTTTTTAACAGGGCTGCCACCTGTTTAAAAATTTAATATAATAATTCAATATGGATACGGAACATGAGATGGTTTGCTACTTGTCAAAAAATGTAATTCAATTAATTTCAATGAATTACTACGCTAAGGGAATCATCCAAAATGGCTTTGAAAGGGCTTAAGTTTCAACTACAATTATTAGGATTGCTACCTGTGTAAAAAATCGAATTCAAAGTAACATATGATTTAGAAAAAAAAACACTATATGGAGCAACTATTATGTTGAGTTTTATTGAAATAATTTGCACCTTATCTAAAAATTTCATACACTGATCGAACTAACTATAGTATATAGTAGTTCGTTTTATTTGAAATGTCTTTTAACTTTAATTTTTTAGTACATCTTTTGTGCCTTCTTAGAATTAATAATTATAAATAACTTCGAAAACGTGGCAACTTTGTACAAATATCTCCTAATACCCTTAAAATTAAAAACATTATCTGAATACAAAGTTCCATCAAAATCGTTAGAGTCGTTTCCTAGAATCCTTTGGATATATATACATATATATTTACAAGAATTGATTTCTAAATGTACTGACAACTATTTTCTCCCTGCAACTCTCTAAATTTTTATATTGAACCCCTCCTCAATTTCCTAATTTCTTTACTAAGTTTCCAGGCTGTAGTGGAGATTGATAATTTTTTATATATTTAAACAAAAAATATTCCAAAAGTAAGTAATTGTGAAAACATTAAGATTTTTCCTGCAGCAGATCTTTCGAATCTAACTTCATCTAATCTGGTGTTTATATGCAAACTAATAAGGAATATTTCTACTTTTAGATTTCATAAGCACTTTTTGCACAAGTCTGCAGAATTTTTTGATTTTCATTAATAAACATGGCAGTCATCCGAAGCGCACTTTTTGACGAGTGGCTTAAAGGCAAAAAAGATGATAATAATGGTGCTGTAATGAAATATATTTTGGATAAGTTGGGAGGGGATATTGACCACGAAAGATTAAAAGAGTTTATCGGTAAGATCTGTTGTCAATTTCGTTTAAAATCGGGCCGCTTTATCTTTTTTTGTCTCTATCTTTATCTCCACCACTTTCTCTATCTTTGCCTCTATAGTTTTTTTTATCTCTATCTTTATGTTTATCTTTATATTTATATTTATGTTTTAATTTTAATCTTTATCTATTCCTTTAACGTTATTCTGATCTTTATCTTCCTTATTTTCTTTATCTACATATTAACTC